AACCATGCAGTTTCTTCAGCGAGAGCTGAAGATGCAAACGAAATATCTAAAGGGCTGTTTACTAATGTAACTTTAAGGAATATAGTACTTCCACCCTTGAGTATCACGAGATCATGACTTAGCGTAATTCTAAATAATGCCCTTCCTCGAGCATTATTCGTCGTACTTCGTTTGTTGAAAAATTCCTTCGAATCTCTCAGCGTCAAATTCTGCTAGAGGAGGTATATAACCAGTTATAACACTGAGTAGATGTCACCTTTTTTTGATAATCACAGCTATACACTCATTTGGCCTATGGGACGAAACATAGTGCTCAATAAAAGTGAAATTTTTTCTAATGCCGAATAGTACTCTGCTAAAACCGGTTTCTTTGTGGGAGTGAAGTAGGTTATAACCGGATAATCTGATGTTGGATCCTATTCTTGAATCCGAAATTGCTACTATATGAAAATTGCATTCGAAGAGGAATTGCCAAAAATTTTACAGCTTATTTCGAAAACCTCTTGCACTCCATTGAAGGATAGTGGCCTTACTTTGAGGTTTGTCTAGTGGCACCAGAGCATCACAAATGGAAGGACAGCATCAATCAACTTAATACGCGCTTTGGCTATAGGCGAATCCCTAGGGAAAACAAGTTTGCGGATGACATTGACAACTGTCTGAATCTTGGCCTCAGACACAGATAGTTGCTGTCGTGCAGGTTTCTTTTCGGGCTCTTTTGTTTCTTCCTTTGATTTATCAGTGGATTTTGAAACTTTTGTGGGAAGATTGGGAAACTCATCTTCACTGTTCAGCTAGAATCGGGAATTAATCGGGATTCTCTTCGCGTATTGTATTCAGATGTCTCGAGTAGGGCTGCTCTGTTTGTGGGGAGTTTTCGCTCGAGTGTCTACTGTCTGTGTTTCTTTTGATGCTAGTGAAGCCGCTTTCGCTGACGCATAGCCAACTTTAGCTTGGTTCTTGTACTTGTATATATTTCGTTCTCTTTGATATGCCGGACAGAAATGAGGTGTTGTGTGCAGATGGGGCTGTCTGCATCGCAGCCGGTGCGTTCATGTGGTCCCCTGCAGCGTGTGCAACGTGGCTCTTTTGTTAAAGCGGTTCGAATGTGTCCAGACGAATTGAATTTCGAGCATTGGCGAGGTTTTTCTACATACGGTTCCATCCTGCATCTTGTGTGCCCAATCGTGATGTATTCCGACAAAATTTCTGTGTTGAGGACAACCTTAACAACTTGGAACGTGTCTAGTCGACGAACGGAGATTGCAGGTGTCTACGCTCGTATAGCCACCTAAAGTTCCGCGTCGTTTATGCCTAACGGTACTCCGTATACAACTCCGATGGCCGATTCACGGGGGAAAAGTTCGTAGGCCTGGACAGCTATGCCTCCGATGGTGGTCAGTGAGAGTAGAGCTTTTGTCGCGACTCTGTATCTTGTGTCTATAGCAATAAGATTCAGCCTTCGGTTTGGCCTGACAAGGATGATTTCATCTGGAGCAGTCATCTCTAGTTTCTTGGTGATTTTCAGCGGATTGATTATGGCGATTATTTTGGATGGACCCTTAAGCTTCAGTACCATTACGAGGTGGGAATGTGCTTGTTTCGTATTCTTGACGGTCTTATTACTTGGCTCGGAGCTTTTGGAAGCTTTGCGTTTTTTTGCGGCTTTGAACCAGATTATATGGGTCGGAGTCGTCGCCGGGATCTTCGGAAATGCTTTCCTATTAGGAGGTTGTGCTGGAAGCCCGTGACATATCCATAGAGGATTCTGAATGTATGTCCTGACCGGAGAAAGGGCCGGCCTCAGCCATGAGAGATGACCGATTGGCTCAGTTCGAAGAAAATGTTGTTTAGCGGGCTAGGGTGAGGAGAGAACCTCGATTAAACGAGAAAAATATTGAAAGGAGCTCAGGATCAGCAACGATAGGTTCGACTTCTTCTCCCACTGAAATGAGCGGCCCTTGGAAGAGAATACACTACTCACAAAAATCCCTGCATCAGACACTGTGCGCGTTGCATTGTGGGACCTCTTTGGTCATGCAGAGGAGTGGCATGGTTTCGATTTCCATTGCACCATTGACGAACTAGTGCATCCCAGCACTGCAGGAAAATAAAGGTAGCGCTCGTTCGCAATGTACCCATTCATCCCCGCGGTAGCCGTCGTGAAACACGGACCTCCAGCGGCCGTCAGGAACTGCCTAGACTTAGCAAGGAGCAGGAGCAAGACCTGCCGCGTCCCATACCTTTCTGGTGGCCTGGGGTGCTATGTTGCGCTTTTTGGACTCCCAGGAGACTAGGAAAAGGGAAGTGACGTCAACGACACAGCAAACGCAGATTGGGTGTTGATTTCGTTTTCTTCTGTCAACATCCTATCTGCGTTTGCTGTGTCGTTGACGTCACTTCCCTCTTCCTAGTCTCCTGGGAGTCCAAAAAGCGCAACATAGTACCCCTGGTTGCCACTCCAGAGTGCAGCATGATCCTCTCTTCTCACGGATTCTTTGAGAAGTGGAGAACATTAAAGGGGTCATGAAACGATTTTCCTACTTCTTCCTTCCTAGCTTTAATCCTCAACTCAGATCCGAATTGTGAAATTGTGAAAAACATTCCTTCGGCACCGGTGCGATGACTCCTAGCTTCCACCCTGCTTTTTATGCACTCCATAGAACTTGTCATTCCCCAGTGACAATAAGTGCCGTCAGGGCACTCATTGGCCACGAACGCGAATCCAAATATTCATCGACGGATTGATTGTTGACGAGCGCATACGTCCGAGTGACGCAGTTCTCGTGTCCAATACGTGAGCTGCAGGCTCTGCTGACGTCAGTTTGGCGCCGGTGACGCGCTTTTGGAACCGCGGATGTATCATAGTGAAAAGGCGGAGAGCTTTCAAAGGCAAGGAGGTACAAAATAGTCGGCTATATTTTCAAATGTTCGTACCGAAAAGCTGGCTTTTGACTTTCTAGCCTCTTTCTTTTGGCCAACTAAACGATATGCGATTAGTAAAGTCCCAATTTAAAATCATTCATCCCAACCCAAAATTTGTTTCATGGCCCCTTTAAGGCGATGGACCAGAATGATCGTCCCAGTGCACTTCTTCTTATTCCTTTGTTTACTGCGCACAAACTCTGGGTATATTCAGAGTTTGTGCGCAAAATCCCCCTAAGAACGTGCCCCAGCATTATATCCGTATTGGTACTCAACATCTTCAATTATATATATATAAGGAAACTCACATATTCTAAAATTCAAGCACTGTATTTTGTTGTAACGGGATGTCGCGAATTGAGGTTGGCAAATCGAAACAGAAACAGTGACCAAATGGTTCCCTAGATGGTTTGCGCAGCACTACGTTGCTAGGATCGCTTCCATTTTGCAAGAGCTATATTCCTGGTTGACAAATAAAAATCTAAACAGTAAGCTCTCCAAACCGTGAACCCAAGATGGTTTGCGCGGCCCTAATGCCGCAACTAAATTATAATTTATGTCATTGTGATTTATTGCAAACGGCATTGATTTTAAATGCGCAAGTTTTTTATGATTTCTAGGTGAATGTTTTAGTAATTGTTTGCACATTTTCGTACATATTTTACAATTGTAGTACATACATTATAAATCTCATCTATTTCTTGAGTCTGAAATAGCCGGTTCGAGATTATGAGAACAAAGTCTTGACTTCATCAAATAGACACAAAGTTGAATTGAGTATAAGCCGTTAGAGAATGCGATGAAAAAAAATTGCTCCTACTGCCAGTTAAACCATCAAGATTAAATTAAAAATTTAACCGCCTCAAAATCACGTGTTTTTTTCTGTTTTTTTTTTTTTTTTTACACGGTTTGTTATAACACTTCAGACAAACAAACGAAAGGGCAACGGTATGGATGTAAAAAAAAAAAGTGTTCTCTCATAAGAGAGTGTAATGCATACTCGACTTGCGCTCTCAACTCTCTTAGTTAACCCCGACGTTTGTGTATCGATATTCACCAGGCACACTACCAATTGCGTTGATCATACACATGGAAGTCCTATCGTCGCGCCGCCAAGACCTGCTCCCTTTTAGTCCCTATAATGACTAAATTGGAAATGTACCCCAACCAAATGCGACTATATACTTATGTATTTGTTTATCTGTCTATACTGCCAGCATTCACTTTTGAACGCCAAAGCAGGGAGAGAAGAGAGAATAAAACTTTATTGTCCCAGCACTGTCAGTGTAACCGTGCACCATACCAAGGTGGCCATGTATAAATAACGAGACAGTGAATTAGCTAGTTACGCGAGAAAGTGCGTATACAGTATATAGTATTTGAACCCTGAAGAATAGGGTCATTCTTTTTTGCCTCCACAGCTAAGATTACAAGTGTATTCAATGGAAACTTCTCAATGTCCTCCGGTCTGGTATAGGAGGAGGAGGATTGGGCAAAAAGGGGAAAAAAAAAAGGGGGGGGGGGGGGGGGGGCAAAGCAATCTTAAGACGCTGGAAAGGAAACTAAGCTCGGGAGCTTTCAACAATGCGAACATCCGACACCGCGTTTGCTCGGTGGTATGGTTTGGGGTCTCCTTGAAGTGTACGGAAAAATATTTGCGACGCGACATGCTTTGCCAAAGACCTTTACTAAGCCTTTCAGCACGCAACGACGGTCTAAAAAGACGCGCAATTAAACTTTTCAAAGTTCATTCAAGCGAATAACGTCAGACATATATTCTCCCAAACTAAGCTTTTCAAAGCCCCGAATTAGCTGTCCCGTAGAGCAGTATTCCTGCTGTGTAACAGGATGACGTCAGCATCCAAAGCTTCAAGTATCTGCTATCTCTGCACCAGCAAACGCGTGTTCGTCTCTTTGCTGCTATGCGAATTCTCGGTTCTCTCGTTTGCTCTTTCGGGAGCACGCCTCTATTAACAGCTTTGAATGCTGCGGCAGTAATTTCTATGGGAAACCGTCGTCCCGGGATCCAAACACAGTTTCCTGAAGCTCGACGCGCCTTCTTTTACCTCCTACAGGTCCGCCGGGAAAACGAGGCAAGCGGGGCAAACACGGAGAACCAGGGGACCAGGGACTGCCCGTGAGTACACGCTCCCCCCCTTTTCCGCGACTCCCTCTCATTTTTGTTTTTTGCATCTTACACGACTCCTTCCTTTCCCTCCTTGTCGTCGCAACCACACCGTCCTTGCCCCCTTTTTTTTTTTTTTTTTCTTTCTCGTTAGCTCGTACCGACGGCAATCGCGACATTATTCAAATGAAGGTAAACACGCGCTTCTTTCTACCGACACGTTGTCTCCGTGGTATGCGCGTACTCGGAACAGCAGCCCATGCAGCGCCACCCCCTTTACCTGCCCTCTCTACTCCGGTCGACCTAGACCGTGGACTGCAGCCAAAGGTGTACGAGCCATCCCTGCCAGTCCAACCGTTGTATGAACGCACCACGTGGCTAATCACCCACAGCTTGAACGGTTTACCCATTATAAGTAATCGTATTACTTGTCATCGATTATTCTTTTTGGAGCGACTTTATAATCGTTCCAAGACATCTATTAACAAGTAAGCGCGAGAGTAATATGATTATTTTTGCAAGTAATAGAGTTTCAATTGGAACCGTTTTCCCTCCCGTTTTAATGGCGCCGTTTGTTCCTACGAGTTTCCTACCAAAGAATCCTCCAACCAATTAAGTGTCCAACAGGAAAGGGGGGGGGGGGGGGGGTTTACCGAAATCTGCGAATTAGAAGTTGCCAGCAGAAAGATCCATCGTTGGGAACATTTTTAGTAATCGGAAAACTATAACGGCGACTTTGTCAAGTAACGGCCAATCGCTTTTCTTCTCGAGTAATGGAATAATCTAATTGAATCCTTTTTTTTAAAGCTGGAGTCATTGTAATCGATAGCCTTTATCGAGTATGGTCTACGAAGCAGCTTCCCGGCGCGTTAGTGCGCCCTTCACGAAGACCAGGCGACACTCACGCGGCAAGGGACCGGCCGCAGCTTCGATGGCTCGTACAGTCCACTTCGGTCCATCGTACGAGCTAAAACGGTGCGTACGCGCCCCTCCGGTTCCGCAGTGTTGAAGCGCGGCGACATATTTGCGAGCTCGTTAGAAAAGGGCCTGTTGATCGCCACTGTTCACTCAAAACAGCAACAAGAACATCGACGCAGATTGCGATAGATTTGGGCGTATGCGCGGTCCTCTGCTCCTTCATATATTTTCTTTCTATGTTCTCATTTCTTGTTTTGTTTATTTTGTTATGCCCCTCGTTTTTCCTCGTCTCTCTCAGCTTTATAGTTTGTTTACTTTTCCCGCTTTCTTTACTTGTGCGTGTGTGTAAGCGCGCGCGCGCGCGTTTGTGTATGTGTGTGTGTGTCTCTCTGTGTGTGTGCGTGTGCGTGTCTGTGCGGGCGTGCGCTTGCGCGCGCGTTCTACTACCTGGGGGAGAGGGGGGGGGGGGGGCACTTTGATCGAGGAAACAACAGGGCTGGTTCTTTCGTCGCGAACTGTGTTTATAATCTTTCTTGTTAATTTCGTGCCGCATTATTAACGCCTAAAACGAGTTTACCGTACACGACGCGACGCGATATCATTACCGTAAGAGAGAGAAAGAGGAAAAAGAAATTCGCTGATTGGTCGCTGAAAGGGTGCAAGCTTTGCCAGCTTTGTAATAGGGGTGCGCGCGTAGGCATCTTACGCATTTCCCGCTATACGCGTGTAAATATTGGGAATCGACGCACACCTACGTGTCCCGCGTCGCCCTTGGGAAGCTGCCTTCTTGCTTTTGTATCTTGTTTTATGCGGGAGCTGTGCACCGGCCACGTCTTCCCTTAATTACACTGCGAGAAGCGTTCATTCGCGTTGAGGAGAGACGCGGGTCGAAAAACGGCAATATTTTGAAAAACAAAAATCGATTTTCGATTTCCTGATGTTTCCTTGTTTATGAGGCTTCATACTCTATGTATAAAAACAACGAGTGTCGTTTATGATCGCGAAATCAGTTGAATGCGCATTTGAAGACTTCCCGGCAGCACAAAACAACATAAATTTGAGTTTTGTTTTTGTTTTTGTCTTTTGTGCGTGCATGTTTTTTTAGGCTGTGACATCGCCCGCCACTACATTTACGTTGACAAGTAGGCCTAGATCTGCTCTGCATCGCGGTATTTTATAGCTTTAATTTCTCACGAAAAAGTATTAACAAACTATTTATTTTTTGCTGGCGCGAAAGACTATCGCTACAAATCATAATATCATTCGAACGCGTTTTCCTTTTTATGTTACTTTGAAGCATCTTCACAGTTTGCGCTCAAGACTTTTTTTTTTAATATTGCCCTGTCACAATCAAATTTGGCATGCATATAATTTAGAACACGTAGAATCGAACTATCTATATGTTTGGATTGAATATTCTTCTACAGCGGAGCTATTAAGGTGCAACCCCACCGTGCATCACGTTTTGGTGTTTTTTGACGGCTTATAACTTTCTTTCTATGTATCCTACGATTATAAAGTTAATTTCAGATTAAAGAGCTGTTTTTCAACAATACTTCAATGTCTCGATATTACTATTATTTTAGTTGTTAGTGAATTATTCAGTTCTTAATAGACCACAGTCTCTAATATTGAAAAAAAATTATTTCTCGAGTTATAACCTTTGATCGTCCACGATATTTTACGTGAGCGTTTAGTTGGATGCAATAAATTTAAAAAGTAAGCAACGGACTGTACAGATAATGTATATTTTAAAATAAAAAAATAAAGTTTAATATGGTATTATGTTATGGCGCTATAAAAACGGAATCACGTCAACTAATCAAAATAACGAGACATTAAATTATGAAGCATCCTTCGGCATTACATTTTACAGAACTTTTTTATTGGTATATTACACGTTAAGAACGTTATAAGACCTCAAACTTTTCCCATTCAGTTACTGCAAATTGTAGTTTCTTAATATAAAATACAGATGGCGACACGTGTTCAAGAACAGCTTGATGTGCATTTTCCGTCGTGTGCCGCTTGGAACGCCACGTGAAAGACAGAAAAAACGCCAGATGTCAGGATGTCAGATGCATGGATAGAGTGCCTTCATACACACGCGCTATGCATGGATGCTCGCAGTGAGCGAGCCAGAGATGTCAAAACAAGCGCGAGCCTGCGGGTACTTTACATCTACTTTTGCGCGCGTTCTACTGTGCGTCGGTACACATGCCCGACGCGATCCAAATGAAATGGGCGACATGAAATACATCCTGCCATTTCAGATTCTGCCACGTATGCGAAAACATTTTAATGTTTTTATCAGTTGCGAAAATCATTTTCGCAATCAAACTATGCTTGTCGGAATGGTTTGACTATAATTTGTTTCAAAAACCACCTCGGTGGCTCTTAAGTGGCAATGATATTAAAACAAAACACAAAACATTAAATCGTCTCAGTGTGTCTCAGCCAACGAGCCGCCCAGGAATCCATATTTGTCGGGTTTCAATATCGGCCGAGGTGCCCTCAATCCGGCGGAGGCCAATCTGAGATTTCGGTTGTACATCAAAGGATCTCCAGTTAGTCAAAATAAACCTGCAATATTTTTTTTTTTTTTTTTGGGGGGGGGGGGGGGGGGGCGTGTTAAGTGAGTTTTGTTGGTTTGCCTTATGAAACCCTAAGATCTGAATATTTGCTTTGCTTTAGTTCGGAGCACAGCCAACGCTACGGGCTGATGAAGCTACTGAAGCAGCGCCAACAGCGCGAGGTTAAGCTGTTCGTTACCTTTCTGCGCCTATACGGTCGAGCTAAACTAGAGCCACTAAATAAGCTACGCTTCATACACATCTTGCTGCTTAAAGGGAAACTCCTCTTTATTATCGATTGTTAGCAAACACAGCGACTCTGTTTAGTATCATCTAAAGAGACCGAATGTCAAATATTATAACGTAATACCACCTAAAAGATCACTAAACCGGCCGACATAAACTGAGATGCGCGAAGTCACCAAAATCCGCTAATTTAGCGGGCAACGTGCGGCGCAGCCAACGTTGTATTTCCGTTGTGGCTGACGTCTGTTGCATACGCAGTTTTTTTCTTGGTATTTTATTTTTCATGGAAAGCTTACCAGGTGGCGCTACGGACGCGCTCCACGTCTGAGCAAGCAAAGAAGCGAGACAGACAAAGAAAAAAAAATGAACGAGAACAAGAGAAACAAAAAGAGGGAGAGAGAGTTGTACGGGATGGGTTTCGCTCACATACGTGCCAACTATACTCCGTTTCAAACATCGCGTGCAACGCTGGGAAAGCTACTGAAGTAGTGCGCATGAAAAAACACACAAAATTGTGTTACTCCGCGAGATTTCGTGGACGAGCGGTACAAGGCGCTGCTCCGGCGATGCCGGCGGTGCCGACATCTCGGTGGCGGTGGTTCGAACCCACTTAGAGCGCAAAGTTTTTTTTTTTTTTTTTTTTTTTTTTCTCGACCGATTGTTTGTGCAGGATCGTGCGTATTGCGGAAGTGCATATTTCAATTCCTCTTTTCTTGTTGATTTTTATTTATAAGAAGGTAGACTGGGGGCTGGTGTTCCGCTCGAACTTGCGCCGGCCTCGTCAAAACGGAAGAACGGTCGAGATCCAGGGCGTCTCTATTTAAAGCCGTTTCTTTACATGGTAGCGTGAAAATCAGAGTATCTTGAAAGTGTGGTGGACGGTCCTTTATATAACGAATATTGTGATTAGGGGACCGCACTGCCATTGTTCAGATGGCTTGGCATTCCCTCACGTGATGTGACTTCATGGAAGTTTCCTTCAGAGTCAGAATACTCGCCGGTGTATGAAAGAAGTCATCCAGACGGCAGTATCTCGGTGCTCTGGTGCCGGCGCCCACATCAACCGGGAGTGATTCACAATAGACGCGTACACAACACACGGCACTCGAGATCAGGATCGAGTGTTGTTTCCTTTTCGAGGAAAGCAGGGGCCTCGGAATACAGGCACGGGCATGTGCGTCGTTTACTTAGCCGACCAAGGTTAAGGTGCCTCAGGCAGACGGAGCCGACCATGGTTACGGTCCCGCAGGCAGAAGAACCCAGACACTTCGGAAT